CTAGGCCCCCACTCCAGCAAAATCCCTCCCAGACACATCCATCTCAACCAATAAATTCAACTTCAAATGAACAGGCAGATCCCCTTACTATAGCTAAGACACAATTGGAATCTTCAGTTAACCTAAACATTCATTCCAAAATTTAACAAGTAAAACATGGAAGTAAATAACCTAAAAGATATCAACAAAATTCAGCTATCTTCACCTAAGTTCAACAATCACGCTAACCCGTGATCCAAATGTTTCTAGAAAATTTCCTTTCCAGAAGGGACCTTGATCCAAGAAAGCGAAATCAAAAGAATTCACATGATTGAACAAGCGAACAGAAAGAATTAAAGAACCCCATCAACTCTATAACCATCTATGTCATCCAACAACAGACACACAGCAAAATCCCAAGCAAAAGAAAAACGAAAAAGAGGGTTTTCAAAATCTAACTTCTTGTGAAGTGAGTAACTCGGCGGAGACCAACTCAGTGACACGAACTCTGTCAAAACTCGGAGGCAAATTAGTATCTGCATCTCCGATCTCGGGGACATCGCTACCCTTGTTTTGAAAATGCTTCACATCCAACACACCCACGTTCTGTTGACACACAACCTCTGCTTCAGCCACCATGTTCTGTACTTTCTCTTTTTCCACCTCTAAACTTCTCACGGGGAAAACTGATCAAAATCCGAATCCGAATCCGACGTTGTATAGAGCTGAAAACTATTGTGCTATGTTCCCAAAATACTTGATTGATGTTACAAAACTGTTTCGATTTCTTTCTCTTCTGTTGAGATTTCTGAGGATTTTTCTCGCGGTTTCCGTTGGGATTGGTGATCAAAAACTTCTGCCACGAAGGGGTTGAAACGCCATATAAGAGGCTCACTCTGGAACCGGCGGCTGCCGGTACCCTCGCTGGCTTCACGGACATGTGGAGTTTCTGGGACCACAAGCGTGTTTGCCTCGCACGCGTTGAGGCTTGGCTTAACCGACACGTGACGGTTTTACAGGTTGACGTGTGACCTTTGAAGTGTTGGGGAGTTGCGTATACGAAATGACAGGAAGGTCCTCAGTGGTGTAAGCTGTCAGTTTTGACTTGTGGGTTGGTTACGGTTGGGAGAGGGGTAATATGGGAAACTCTGATAGCGCCGACCGAGTAATATAACTGTCTTCTTGTGTTCATAGGTGCTGACGCGTTTGTCAGTCCCCACCAACATTGGTGATGTGTGACGTCATCCCCAGCCACTCTCTTTTCAATTTCTCCTCTTTGTTACCCCTCACACAATAACAAAAATATTACTCAAATCTATGTGAAAATGCTAAATAACTGTCAATTTGCCCTAATATCATATTCAATTTAAACAAAATTACCTCCTATAAAAAAAACAAATACTTGGTTCTACCAAAAGAATAAAAAATCATGTTATCATACATTCTAATTAAAACCTTCTTACATTATGATAAATAACAACTTGTAAAAAAATTATCTTCCTTTATCTCTATTTTGTCCCTATCAAAAGGTTAATTTTCATATTGTATGCAAACAGAAAATCTTAAATAATCTCAATTTTACTGAAGATTAATAATCCTTAGATATGGAAACGAAAAAATGAGTGAGTTTAAAAGATTATATAATCATATCATGAAGTGAATCCCATTACTTGATGATCCCACCCTACCCTAGGGATAGTATCTTTTGAAAAACTTAATATTTGAAACTAATCATATCCTATTACAATAATCACAAAGAATAAAAAGGCCCTTATTATGATTACTGTGATCATTAGGGGTTATATATATGAATTCAATTTCTTCTAAAACACTAACTACATCAATTTATTTGTTTATTTATTTATTTGACATCTTTGTTGGTTCCTTTTTCATATATAGATATAATTACATATTTAGAAATAAGAGGGATATGCATGGATTGTTGCACACAATAGGAACTGAAATTGAGGTGGATGTGTGAAAATGTCAAGTGGGTAGTATTATTCCTACTTTTTCCAAATATCTTCAAACCAAGTTAGGTAGTGGCTTGCAATTCATCAATTTTATTGTTTTCTATGTCTGTGATGAGTGCTATTAAAAAAAAGTTTAAATTATGCTGTGAGGAATAGTAAAGAATCAATCAACTAATTAACTTAATTTATTTGGGTGCATTTAGTAAATAATTTTTTCTGAGTTGGGGTCAAGGTTAACTATTTGGTTTGTATGTGTTGTTTAAAGTTCAAGTTCTATTCATTTATGTGCATCCAAATTATTCCAGAAATAGAATCTAAGAGTCTAGATGTATTACTTTGTTTAAATAATGTTACAAAACTGTGATTGAAATTTTGAAATAGAGCTTTCTGAATAGATATGGAATAGTTTATTTTAAATGAATGTGAATCATTTCAGTTTTTGACTGGAATTTAGAGAAAATGTTTATTGAATTAGTGATTGAGGAATGTTGATGTGAGAAAAGGAGAAAGATTATGTTAAAATGGATTCTATATTACAAATTTGTTTGAACAAATTTTATGATATGTAATTATTGTTTTTATATTATGTTTTTCTTTTTAAAATACATTAGTTTATTATTATTTTTTGTATTTATTTGATTGTTTTTTTCTCTAAGGATAGTATATTAATACATGTGAGCGTGAGAAGTAGTAGGAATATATGATGGTGTTAATATAAGAACTGCTGAAAATGAAAGCTTATAATAGTGATAGATTAAAATATGAATTATACCGTCTTTTTCTAAAACTTTATTAATCACAGTTCTTATCTTTAAAGTGTTTTGATTCTCTTGTAAAAATATATTTTAAAATACAATCTTTCAAAAATATATATATATATATATATATATATATATATATATATATATATATATATATATATATATATAGAGAGAGAGAGAGAGAGAGAGAGAGGAGAGAGAG